CTCAACTCTGGTACTTCACATTTTTTGAGATAAATCGTAATTCCGGGCTTTTATGTAACTGAACTATAATTTCAATAGAAAATGTTTTCGATTTCGGAAATTTTGTTTTGGTAATAAATTAACCTTAAAAATCGATTTTTTCTCACCTCCAATATGTTTTATAACTAGAATTCTGTCGGTGGGGGATAGAGTTTTGAGAATGTTGGTCTCTTCTTCATTTGTTTTCATACCTACAAATCTCCTTTAAAATTTCCTTCCATAATGTCGTACTGTTTGTATCATTCTCTCTATTCTCTTTAAAGACGTTTAAAACTGTTTTAACTGTTTTCAATTGTGTGCAGGAAGAAAACGATCTTTGTTTAATAACACATTATACTGTATATTCAGGGCTTAAATTCAGCCGAAGCCTTAGTAAGCTATTTCTTAGCTTTTCAGTGAAATTATAACTTCAGCCGGATTTCCCAAAGAAGTCGAGGTCCAGTGTTTTATATTAATTTTTAACAATTTATCATTGATTTAATAATTTTTAAAATTGTTGTTTATTTCTTTAAACTTTATTCGATTTTAATTTTAATTTAATTATTTTACTTACTATATGATTCATTTATTTTTGTTCCCTTCTTCTGACTGCCTTTCACAAAGCTCCAGTATTTTTAATTTTAGAAATGAAGAAGCTTTGGATAAGAATAGAATAGCAGATACAATACCGTATTATCTCTTGATGACCACTTCCTTAAGATCATCTTCGAAAGTTGTAGGATTATTACTATTATTTTTCACTAACCAGTCATTTTATGTTTTTGGATATTTATTGTTACTAACCGTTTCCATACCAGAATGTATATGAGGTAACTTTTAATGGAAGGTTTCGGGAGTTGAATTCAGATATTCTTCTATTTCTCGAGGCCACATTACAAGGTTAGCTAGCTGAGATAAGGTTGTATTATTCGGCTTTGCATTGTAGTTGCCGATATTTAAATTGTTACACCGGTAAGAAGTTTCAGCCAACTTCGCGTTAAATCCTTTGTGTAGCCCTCGGCTACAAGATTTAGTTTTGATATGAAATTTGAATTTACGATTTCTTTAAGTTACATCGCCACGAGTGGTTGGCTGATTTGTAAGCACGAATCGTGCTCAAGTTCTGATTTAATAAAAAGGTTTTTTAAACCCTTTTAAGTCTCTGTCGTTAAGCTCAGTCGCAGCGATAATTCGCTCAGTCTGACAAAAATTCTGGATTTAGTTTATGCTACCAAAGCAAGTCGAACTTTAGAAAGTTTTCGTTATTTCTTACATCCTTAGTAATCATTGATGGGTACTGTTCGGTTTCGAGGGCCGTAAAAAAATTGCAACGAAAATGTATGCGTAAAAGCTCCAAATCTATTAAACGTGCCCATTTAACAGCGCGCCAAATCTAGCGTACGCGCTGATTTCAGATTGCGTAAGTTTATATAGTTCTATATTTCTTAAGACGCCATTGAAATACTAGTTTAATTTTTAAACCCTTTTTTTTGATTTTAAATGCTTTTTTGATATCCTATGGATTTAACAATTTGGGAATTGCCCACGACGAAAAGTCGGCAATAGAATTTTGGGTAAAGTGCAGAATCACCCACTGCTTGAGGCGTTTTTAAAAATTGCACATACTCGGTATCCATGTGCACATCGACCTATTTTCACTTAAAAAAAATCCTACAATTGCACAAAAATGGCACTGCGCACACCCTTGACTTTATCTATGTACACATCAACCTATTTTCACTTAAAAAGTAAAAGAAAATTAACAAAAATCCAATTGTTTTTACCCTTCTAAAAAGCGGCAAACAAATAAGGGAGCGATTCTGAACTTTACCGAGAATATTTTCAAAGAAAAGGCATCGTTCAATATAGAAAATTACGTTCGAACAACCAACGAGATGAAATTATGCTTTAGCGATAAGTCGGTAGCGAAATAGCGATGAAGGCATCCATTCAGTTATGCTTAGCAATTTTTACATAAATTATAATAATGATCTGAAATAGTTATTTACTCTTATGCTTCCATTCAGTCATGTTTAGCCTTTTTCATATAAATTATAATAATAAAAAAGCATTATATGAAATTAACCTTTCATCTAAATTAAAACATCAATATTAGATAGTTATTTACTATTATACTTCCTTTCTTGCCGCAATTATTAGGGTTTACCGCAATTATTTTTGACAGCATTGGCATCAACACAAGTTTGGCGATTTTTTAGATAGCCATCACCTCCAAGATGAATGTACATCTTTTGGAGCCACGAATTTCATTTTAAAGGCGGAATCATCTTGTATTCGGAAATACGGCTGGTGTTTTTAAAATCTTGAAATAGGCCCATTTATATTGTTACATAACAGTAACTTTGAAGTATGTAATTTTTCTTACTGTAACACTGGCACAATTTTGATTTAAATTCATATTCTGTCATTTTTTGAAACATTTTCACAAGACTGACTGACATCAACAAATTGACTTGCACAAGGATTCGCAGAAAGGCTGTATTGTTTAATAATATTTTGTACGCCAAAAAATATTGCATAATTATATGTTTTAAACCTTTTATTCCAAGTGATGTAAGTTTCCTCAAAGAAAAAAAAATCGTTCGTTTATTTTACCCTAGAAAATGCATCGAATTGTAATAGCTGATTATCTACGTTGACTCTATCAACTATGTAGAATCTAGTATTATTTAAATATGTTCCATAAATGAAAGAAGAGTTTGAAATTCATCTCTTCGACAGATTTTGCAGTCCGTTGTTTTGTATAATATGCTCTAATTCCTTGTTACTTTATCAAATATGCATTACGAAAATTTAAGTGTATTTCTAAGTTACGACAGACTGAAAAATAAGTTCTTTTTTTAATTGGAAGTGGTTCAATTTCATTTTCCTCCAACCTTTTGTAAGTTAATCGGGATTTGATTAGGTCTGGTTTTTAAATCTAACGAGTTAAATTTAAATTGCATTCGTTATACATAAATATCTTAATTTAAAATCTTAAATTCCTGGGTATTACATTTCCCCGCCTTTTCTCTGGTATAATCCCTTTTCCTTTAGCCAAAGTATGTCTAATAAACCCGCAAGGTCAGTTAATTTCTGTGGCGAGAGCTGCTCTAATTACATGCTACAGGTCGCGACCTCACGCAAGAGTGTGATGCCCACGGTGGAGGGAAAAAGCAAAAAAGGGGAGAGGAAATACAATCTTGGTGACTGAGCAAACCTGCTAATGTCTTCTGGCTATTCGCAACCTGTAATTTCTCAAAGATATGCTCCAGACCACAAAGCCTATTATTATCTCTAAGGGTCTTTTGTTTTTTTGGGGGAAAGGGGATGGGTTACCTCCTCTCCCCCGTTTTGATGGTGCAGTAGAGGTCACGAAAGGGACCTCAGAGGTTCAGCAGATAACATTAGTTACGCGTATTTACCATAAATTACGCTTATCAGCATGAAAGGGTAACGTGCTATAAAGGATATGATAAGAAATATTAATGTCTTGCTGATTAATAATAATATTATTAAATACCAAAAGAATGTAGCAGACTTTTAAAGATAGATTTTTTTAGAGATAACCATTGATTTATTGCCATATTTGTACGGGGTTTTTATTCGCTTATATTCATTTATTTTGTTTTCCTGAACAGTAGCTTTATAAACTAGTAAAGCGAGAATGAAGATGTAAATTTTGTTAATATTGGAAAATTTCTTTAAACGTTGGGTATCAGATAACCAAGATGTACTCAATGACACGATTCGTTTTAATAGTGGCTACGTAGTTGTTATAATTTAAATATATTTCTCGAAATTTTTTAAATGAATGTGTTGAAATCTAAGGGACAAGATATAATTTACCACTTCATTTGATTTAAATACGTTCAAATAGTATACTTTCTCTTTTACAGCGCTATAGCTGCGTAATATTTGTTTTGTTTGGGAATGACTCCAAAAGGAGCGTGAATTTAAGCAAATTTTATGATGTTACTTATTATGAATGTAAGTAGAATTTTGGTTTTCTCAATAAAATTGTTAAATCTGGACTTCCGAAGAGAGCGTATCATTCTTTGTTTGCGAAGAAATATGCTGTAATTAACCTAGTCATTGCGTACTTAACGTATGGTTTCTGTTTGAAGGCCCAGTGAGCATAAAAACTCAGAAAATAATAAACACTGTATCTTAGTAAAATTGTAAAGTTTGAGCTTTTAAACAGAAACAGCATTCCTGTATGGTGGACAGATATGCTATAGTTGCCATCTTAATATACAGGCACTGTCGGGGGTCCGCGAAAATAGAACTCTATATTCGGTAATAATGAATATGGGTTTGTATATCATTCATAACTTGTAATCGATTGATAACGACTATGGCTTGAATATCTACACCAACTTTTGGTGTATATAAGAGCTTCAGAGTACTGCAAAAGGTCGGGAAACATAATTCGTAAGTGCACATTGGATGGGAACCGAGGGAGGAGTTTCTAGAATTGACCATTGGGCCTCTAGTGGTATTCTCTCTAGTGTCATATGACTTTTAAAGCAAGTTCGTTGAAAATATTTTGCTACTGGGCTTCCTACATCTTGCATTTCTTGTGAACATTTATAGCGCTAAATTAGATTAAGTAATTGCGAAGATTTCATTGTCCGATTGAAGAAATTTGAAAAGAATGCATATACAGGCTACTGACTGCGGATAACTATACATACGAAATAAAATGTAAACAGCTTCAAAGTTGCAATATTAGTAAATGCCCATTGGACCGTACTCGAAGCCGCTCCTCTGATTGCGATACTGGATGTGCATTTAAGAATTATGCAGCGTTGGAACCCCAAAACTTACTAAAATGTATCTGGATGTACAGGAACCATGTAGTATGATTCTTAAAACTTCTTCTTTTTATCTTACATTCGATGTGTAAAACTTATATTCTTCCAAGCGAAAGAGCTGAACTTACCTTTCTGAAATCAATAGTATTTTTCCTTTCCTTTCAGGCTATTGACGGCTATCGAGTAATCTAAAAGCTTTTTACCACTGATCAGGAGAGGAGAAAAAAATGATAACTCGGCTATGAAATATAGTGCTGTTCTTGTCGAAGACTGCAATCCGTCTAGAACCTATAGAATCCACCCGAGGTAAGTGGAACATAAACAAGCCTACTCTTTATTTATCCAAATTCAGTGTTTCGAAATTTATGCCGAGCCCACCAGCGGCCGAGCGGTAAAGTCGCTGAACACTGGTAGTTCGGTCCGAGGTTCGAATCCCGCGAACGGGCTGGCTGCATGGGCGTTTTCGTGGTTTTCCCCATGTGTAATGTGTATACGAGCCAGTTTCCCTTAGAAAGTCCTCCACGAAGGCATCCCTCCCCTTAGGCAGATAGCCCTCGTGTACTTTGCCATAATTAAATACACCAACACCGAAATTTATGCCACCGGGAAATGTGTTCAATTAATTTATAAGTTATCAGCAAAATGTGTACAAGTTCTTTTAATAATGGATATTTAGCATAAGTAGTATAATTACATATAAATTCAGATAATGTATGGTGTAATGTTATGTGTAATATTGTAGGTAATATTGTAAATAAACTAAAAATTTTACATATGTGGGAGCATTCAAAAGGCCCTTTGGAATGCTCTGCCGTAATCTGAAGCAAAAGGTCGTTTAATGTCACTTGGAAACATTTTGATATCTATTTCCTTTAGTTTTTTTTTTTTCCATCTGCCTTCCTTATGAAAGCTTAATTAGTCATTTATTATTTGTTTAGCAACTGCCACATGTTTAGATGATATTCTTCTACATTACTTTAGCCCTAGCTGAAATTTAATTTTTTTCAAACAACGATGTTACGATTTTGTCTTTCCCTGATTGCTCAAAGCGATGCGTGTGATGCTGAATTCTTCTGCAAAGTACCCTACCATTGTTATCCAAATTCGAAGCTACATCCTGTTTAACTGACAACATAACACATACTCATCACACTGTCATAACCCTAGCATCTTCCGAAGAGTTCGCAGCTAAACTCCATATAGCTAATATCCCGGTCGGAGGCCAACCTGAGCGGTGACCAGTCATTGCTAATATCAAAAGATAAGGCATCTGCTATTGCAACATTTGTAGAAGTTATAGGTACTTGCGTGTTAACGGAGAAAAAGCCCAAACTGGGAAATAAAATATCTGAAAGGTTTCAGATTTTGAATTACGTCCACAGGGCGGTTTTTTTTTTTTTTTTTTTTTTTTTTTTTTTAAATATTACTTTTATTAGTCCAAAGGGGTTTTGTCCCTGAGGGACTACTGTTGTCCTTTTGCGATTCTGCGTCTAATCACTCTGAATGTCCGTTTCACTTTTCAAACTGTTGCCACCAAGTATTATCGCCCTGTATTATATTTGAAGAAATTAAATATTGAAGAATCTGCATAAATGTATGTATGTTTCTTGCATTGTGATAAAACAACGCAGAGTCGTAGTAGGGTTTTCAGCGCCCAGGGACAACTGAAGATTTCGCGCCCCCTACTGCTTGCCAAGAATGGAAAACATTTAATTCTAAAATGTCGTAACATCAGTTTGGCGCCCCTTGGATTCTGCGCCCGGGAACAGATGCCCCCTCTAGTTACGCCCCTGAAACAACGGTAGCTAGAGCCATCAAATTATGAATAACGTAATCCTACTGAGAATATGGGCTTGTGGAAGCCCAAATTAGAAATTTGGAATTTGTTTTATTATCGATTTCATATTTTGTCAAACTTTGTAAACTTTTTCTATAAATTCAGAATAATAGACTAATTACCTGTGGAAACAATTCCCGAAATTTTCAATAATTATATAGAAAAGTGTTGAATAATGAAACTATCAGAAGGGCATGATTACTGAGAACTCTAACTGGCTTTTTCAAAAAGAACCCGTTTTTGTGCAAAGAAGGTTCCTTTTTCCTGACAAAAAAATCCTCGCCATCAATGAATAGAACACCTTAGCATTCAAATATATAAGTTCTGTATTCCACTGTCTTAAATATCGCGGCCCAGGCGGTATAATGGTAGTAACGCTGACTGCCGTACTGATGCGCACGAGTTCGATTCTCGGAGAAAGCATGGCTGTTTGTATGTGCATAGTGTCTATCTGAAAAGAGGCACTCGACCAGCCGAAAGTCTTCTAGGGTGGTTAGTGGTAGGGAGAAGGGTTTTGAAGATCCTCGGTCTGCCTCCGGGGAGTTCTCCATCAAAACTGGGGTGGAGCTTAACAGTTAGCAAGGCCCGAAGATGCCTAATATACCTTCGAGAGTGCATCAGTCTATACTTGTCGTCAAGTGAGACACGAAGCTCATTCACGCGGAGCTTATGTTTATGAAAACCGCTCCATTCGCACTGAGAATTTCTATGCCCACAGCAGTTCTAAGGTATTCTGACGATGGCTGAAAAGACCATTGGATTGTATTGCTTAGATTATGACACAGCATTCGCAAGCTATCTTACCTAAGGTTTAAGGGAAACTGGCTCGTATACACGTTACACATGGGGTAAACCATGAAAACACCCATGCAGCCAGCCGTTCGCGGGATTCGAACCTCGGACCAAACTACCAGTGTTCAGCGACGTTACCGCTCGGCCCCTGTGGGCTCCTTACCTAAGGGAAGGATTGCTTTCATGGAAGACTTTTTTAAGAGTATCTGGCTCGTTTTCACCTTACACAAGGGGTGAAAAACACGAAGACTCCTGCACAGTCAATCCCTTCGCCATGATTTGAATCTGAATACGATCATATAGTGTTCAGCGGCTGGTGGTAACTTAAAACGAGCAAGTTTCGTTTTCTATCCTCTATTTTTCTGTTGGACATTGGTTCCCGTATTTTTAAAAATGATTTCGCAGTTTTCAAATAAAACTTCTTCTAGGATCTGCAGTGATTTATTACTGACCCAACTTGCAACCTTGCTATGGTCCATCTACTTTCGTAATGTTACAAATCATATTAAAGGTGCATTGCTAAACACTACGCAAAGTAGAAATAATACCTATATGCAATACTGACAAGCCACCGAGAGTTAAAAATAAGCTTTACCAATTTACCTTTACCTAAAATAACCGTCTGCACAAGCAAAACTCGTTATAAACATAAATTTGTTTATTAACTGTAGCTTATCTTGTTTATTAACTGTTATTATATTTTCATTTTCATTAAGTTTTTTATGGTATTTCGATCTGTATTCCAGTTTAAGAGAATGAAGCAAGAGAGTATTTGTGGTTTTCCTCATGTGTAACGTGAAGACGAGCTACTTTCCTGCAAAAAGTTATAAAGGCATCCCTTCCTTTAGGCAGATAGTCCTCAAGTGCTTTTCCTACATGTCAATAACATAACTTAGTGGGCATGAGTAACGAAAAGTCAACTTTGCTTTCACAGGGAAACGAACCTGACTTTCTAAACGTTTGTTGTATATGCTGACCTTATCCAAGGTCATAAGGAAGAAATACCTCTTTGCATGTTTCCTTCATGGCTTTCTGTTTGTAATGCATTATCTCCTAATTTATAGAGAATGTATAATATTTAGTGTCTTAAAGATATGCGGGGTACGTTATTTTCGCGCTAAATTTGTGTTAAGTAATTTTGAGCGTTTTTCTTCTGCTTGTGCTCTTAACTACAAATTCCATTTGATTTTTTGAGTATTTCAATGGAATTTGAGACTACCTCGGCCGTGATGCCAACAAGAATAAAAACGTTGGTTGCGGTTTATCCTTGAAATATTTTGCGACTTTCTTTTACACCATTCATGAGTCAGAGTTAAGTCATTAATAAGCAAACTAAATCCAGACTATGGCGGATTCCAAGAATTATGGACGACCGCAGATGATGATTAAATACTGTAAGTCTATATCGCCAAAAGATTGCATTACTTTGAAAACAGCAAGAAGCAATGTTTAATGAGTTACAGATATGTAAACATTCTTTTTTCTCACTGCTTAAAGTTACATTTTAACGGAAATGTTTAAAAAAATCATCTCATTTAAAATAATTGCAGTATAAAACAGAAGTATACTTTTCTCCCCCTATTTAAAAACTGTAAAGTATAATTAGCAGTAATGCCGCGGATTCTAAAAATGCACTATTGAGCTTTCCCAGGAGTATTTTAAAAATCGGTATAATCGCACGCCAGAAAGGTAAAAGGAATTTTTTTAGTGAGGAACTAAGTGATAATAGAAATTTCTTATCATATGCTAATTCTATTTTACTACCCTAAATGGACCTTGGCCCAGAAGGGCTATTAGTCTGGAAACGGCATTTTGCGTCGAATCACTGTAAACGGCTGTATCATTTTTCAGATTGTTGCCACCAAATATTATCGTCCTGTATTATGTTTAAAGAAACTAAATAATAAAGAATCTACATGAATGTATGCATGTTTCTCGCATTGTGAAAAAACAAAGGTACCTAAAATCGTCAAATTTTGAATAGAAATTTTGAATAGAATCTTCCACACGAACATGGCACGAGGAAGCCCGAATTTGGAATTTGTTTTATTTTTATATTATTTTTATTCAATATAACACGGAACACATTACTAGGTTCAAACTGTTTGACTTGAAGTAGCAAAAGCGAACTTAATACAAAGTATAAATTTATTAAATTATTATTTTAAATTTATTAAAAAGTATTATTTTTTTAACTCGTTACTCAGGCTTTCTTGTAAAGGCTTTTAATAAAGTAACCAGTAGTGCCCCCTAATAACCTTATTGCGTCAATAAATCCAGCAGTTTTAAGGGTACTTACGGAAAATCCCGTCGACCATTTTTGCCTATTAAAGAAAAGATGCTAAACTACGCGATTTTTCGCCAAAAATGGAAAAATGTTCTTCAAACACACTGGGTTTGGTGTAACCTTGATTACACGTGTTAGTTATTATTTCTTGAGTAAACACTCCTTTTTTCCTCCCCTCTATCACGCATTTCCGAAAAAAAAAAAAAAAAAAATGATTAAAATTTGGGACCTGTCTACTACAGAAGAACATGCTGTTGAATATTTCCAAAGTTTTGGAATCTTACCGGCCTCAAAAAAAATGTGTTAATGGCCACGAAATGGCGCCTAGCAAAAATAATTGCTTTTACAGTATATCTCCTTAATAAAAATTAATGGAAATTTTTAATGAAA